ACGATCTCCCGGCGAAGTGGTAATAACTGTTGGCTACGAAAAGTATACAAGCAGGCGTGAGAGGACGAGGTGCACGCGCGACGACGACTGTACGTGGTTTCGTGATCGTCTCGTTTTATGCCCGCGTCACACTAGCCATTGGCGTTCCAGTCGAAGCACAGTATTCGCAATGTTAAAGAAATTCGTCTTTTATCTACAGCGCGAGTCTTGCACGTCCTTCGTATCGCGCGTAAGAGTATATTCTGCTTCAGGCGAACGTATTTTTCTGGATTCGAGAGGAGAAATGTTAGAATATTGTCTGGTGCACTTAACTGCGGTAGAACAAGAATCTGTGAGTGCAGGCTAAATCTCATTGTAACATATGGATACCATATCCATCGGAAAGAAGCTTGATTGAAAGACAATTGCAGACGCGGGCACGAACGCAGCTGTGATGTGGGCATTAGTTGGCTGCTTCTTTGTTGGTCGGCGAGGGCGAATAAAAAATATCTTCCGGCCGCTCGATCGGAACGCGCGATCGGGACAGCAGGTGGCTTCTTCTGTGCCGACGGCTTCCTGAGATAAGAGAGAGCGCGCGCGAAAACTCGTTTCCGATCGTCGGGGAAATCATATTCTTCTCGCTGAGAGTGCATATTGGCCTCGCCAAGCGATCGAAATCGATCGATCGACCGACCGACGCGCGTCTCTCGTGGCTTCCTTGTCCTCTACCCACACGATGGGCACGCTAATTGGGCCGGCTTGCGAGGAAACAGATTGAAACCGGAAAGGTAGGGGCGACTGGTGCGTCACACCAGCAGTTCCCGTCACTGCTAACCTAATTCGACCCACCCCGGCGGTAGCGCCGTAATAGGGCGGAATTAACTGGAACGAACGGTCGCTCGGTGCTCCTGAAGCGTGCTTCTTATTTTAGCGCCATTACGGCGCGCGGTAGCCCCGGTCTGACGGCGCGTACCCACCGAGTCGCACCCCCGCCGTCTAGCCAGCCAACAGAGAAAATGGCAACTTTTTCCATAATAATGAAAAATTCATTCTCCGACCGTCCATTAAAATTCCAGAGTCACACGCGCGCGAGGCTGTACCAGTGAGAAGGAGAAAAAAAAAAAAAAAGAGAAACGCCGTGCGAACCTCGTGACATTTACGTGGAAACGGGAGCGATTTCCCGAAGAAAACAGATTCATGTCAGTAGGTGAATATAAATTGACATCGTGATCGCGCGTCCACGTATCGCCCGTTTTAAACGATCCGTATTCGGATGCCGCTCCTCGCTTCGTTGCGCGATATTACTGAACGGACGGTTACCGGTCTGATCCCTAATGGTCTCTATTGATTTCCACAGGCAAAACGCTACTAATAATAGCCGATTATATCTTAGCGTCGCGTCCGACCAATTGAGATCACCAGTCGGTATCGAAATAACCGTTTGCAATTTTTCCAACCCTCTGCCATTTAAGTATCGATCGTATAAATATCGCGTTGCCGCTATTTTTCGTGTCATGCTCGAGAGAGAGAGAGAGAGAGAGAGAGAGAGAGAGAGAGAGAGAGAGAGAGAGAGAG